TCTAAAGAGTCTGCCAGTATTAGGGACAAGTCAGACTCTCAACTTGGATATAGCTAATGTCGTTCACTTGTTTAAGTGCATGAGTTTTTTGTTGTAGTCACTGTTGCATTTTTCTTTTGTTTCTTTAATTTTACCTTTCAGAAACAACCTAGGCTTGTTAAAGAATCTCTTCAGAGGACATTTTAAGATTGTTAGATAGAACATTTTGACAACAGTAAGACTAGATTCTGGAAAAACGGCCAGTGAGAAATCGATCAAAACTGATTACTGAAAGCTTGCTCTGTCTCCTTCCCATCTGAAAAGATTAGCTAGCCCCATCCCAAGATTTCTTACCACTTCTAGTTTCCGTTCTCCACCCTAGATTCAGGAGAACATGCATTTTCTATCATAATTGCATGGATTACTCTAATCAAATGAAATGAACTTTGCTTTATGCAGAGCCTTGGAAGTGCATCCGTCCATAGAAAGCAGGCAGAATTAATACGAGAATTGCTTGCAGAATTACAGCAGTGCCAGTACTCCAAAATCAAAGACAGAATTGATGAGATATTCTGCTGTCACAAACCTCATGATATAGCCACCCTTCCACCACATAAAGGGTAACAGCATTCTAATTAAGAACTCAGGCCTTATGTTCAGCAGAAGCAAACTAATGAATTGACTATGAAGATGCCATAAAGTGGGATGTGACTACGATATTTTGCCTCATGTATAACCTAGTGTCAGTAAACAATTTGTTTAATGTAGAAGTCACGTGGTGCAGGCTGCAGAGGATTTATAGCTGCTTGCATTTTAGAACTGTTGTGCCTCAACAGAATAACTATCTCACTGGCTATCATACAAGCCTGCGATACTGCTGCTGGAACCATAAACATATTCTCATTAGTGGCCCATGGCAATTTATATCAGAGAATAGCTTGTGTCACACCATAGACTGAAGAGCTGCTGCTGTGCAGCCAAATGTTAGCTTTTTTAAACAGATCTGTAACAATCTGGCTACTTTGTCATAACAAAAAACCTTTTCTGTGTAAAGACTGATACACAGGTATCCATTTTTATCTACGGCTTACAGAATCAAAGGGTCAAATTCCCACCAGAATCCTAAAGATAACTTGGAAAATTCCTAAATAATGCTTTGGATGCCTCCTGCCTGAGTTATCTGAATTTTGCTATACCTATTGTTCCTGAAGTAGCATTTAATAGCAACACAGGAGAGAAAAAAAAAAAAAAAGAAAAAAGAAAAAAAAAAAACAACCAGAAAATTGGAAGCCTGTATCTACTTCCAAAGTTGAAGATAAATGTGCACAAAATACATTTCAAACTGCTTTTCAGTCTTCTCAAAAGAAGACAAAACTAGGTCTGTCATAAGGATTTTCCCAACAATGCCTTATTATTGTGGAATAAACATTTAGGAGAAGCCCTGGCCTAACTCTTAGGGAACGTTTTGCTAAAGGAGGGGTCCGTAGTGAAGGACAGGCAGCTCTTCCTTGTCAGAAGTGAGAAATTAGTTTAATACACTGCACAAAAGAAAAACAGAAGGGAAGGAGAGATCCCCTCATTAAATGCTCACCATTTGAGCCCTGCTTAATATGTTGACTGATAACTAGTGTACGCAGTTGCAACAAGCAGAGGCCATTCCAAACAATGATGCCCATCTGTTATGGTAGCACTTTAGTCTTAGAACTTCCAGCTGCCACTTCTGGTTAGATGTGCGACATTATGCATAGTCTCGCGTACCAAATGAGTGCAGTCTGTACTCCCTGATCATGACTTTTGCAGCTTAAGTATCACCCTGCATGTGCATTAACTGGCTGAAGTCCTCGCAACAGAGTGAGTGAGCATGTGCGTGCATATGCACAGGAGAGAATCAAAAAGGAGAATAAACCTACTTCCGAGAGGCTAATTTTGCTCTTTTATTTAGAGCAAGCATCGCAATGCACAAAGGCATCTTGCTTTCAATACCATAATACCAACAAAGCATCCAATACAAATACCACTAGCACGTCAAGTTTGAAGAACATAGAAACAGCGCTAAGAAGTTTAGGGGATGCTGCTGGACTTCATTCTGACTTTGTAAGTTGGGTCATGCCAAGTGTCCTGTTTGGAAACTGGCACTGGGCACTGCTAACCCCAGCAAGTGGCCTCATTTGTTCTTTGGCCTACAGCATGAATGGCTTTAAAAAAAAAAATCATCCCTTTCATCTGCAGAAGCACGAAGCCTACTTCACCACCACAGTAGTATCTAATAGTATAAACTTCAAAGTTCTGATCTGGAAATTCAAGTTTCCATCCTCCATCTAATAAAAACGCTTGCCAATGAACAGAGCTAACCAAAAGGAACAAGTGATCCTTCCTCCCTTCTGGTTATACATAAGCATAGACAGGGTTACAAAGAGATCCATCTCAAAACTCAGTTCTGTTTGCGTGCCAAAGGGCCGCATGCTTTGGCCTGCAGGATACAACACATAAGTGAACCACTGAACTCCTACAAGACTCCCGGTATGCCTGTGTGGAAAACTAAGTGCGTATGAAGGCACAGCCTGGCAACCCCAGGACATTCAGGTACACTGCAGCATTCACGTAATGGTTTAGGCCAATGTAGGCTTCGTCTCTTGCAAAGGCTCCAAAGCAGGCTGTGCCACCGAGGTGGTTTGTGGTCTTCGCAAAAAGCCTGGGCTGATGGCCCCCTCAGCCACCACCACGCAGCATGCGGTTACTGCATATCTGTGGGATTGTGTTTGCAATACCAGCGTCCTGCAACAACAGGCTAGTAAGATGAAAGGAACGTGATCTAAGGCCACATTTGTTACCTGGTTTTCGTACTGTTTTTTCCTACTCATTTCAATTTTGGCCATTTCTTCGTCGGGATCCTGGAGAAACTAACAAAAAGAAACGCAGCAATTTAGGGGCAGGGGCTGCGGTTCAGCGCACCGCTCAGCCCCACGCCGTGCTTGAGCCCCGCCGGTCCCCGCGCCGTGACAGCCCCCCGCCCGCGTCCCGCGCCGCACATGGCCACCTCCCCACCTTCAACAAAAGGCCGCGGGAGCAGCGCCGGAGCGCCGGGCCCGCACCGCCCGCCAGGCCGTGCCGTGCCGCCTGCCGGGCCTGCACTCACCGTGGCCACATCGGCTTTCCTCTTGCGGGCCCGCACGGCCCCCTCGGCGCCCCCTTCCCCCTTGGCGGGAGCCTTCTCTTCCGCGCAGTCGCTGCCAAGAAAGGAGAAGCGTGAGGACCGGCCCTCGGGGAGCGTCCCCCGGCCTCACTAACGGAGAGCCGGCCCACCCGCGCGGCCGGACTCACCTCTCCCGCCGCATGCTGCCCGCGGGCACGAGCGACAGCCGAGGGCCGCAGTCCCCACAAAGAGCCGCGAGGCGCGGAAAGGCCCCGCCGCCCCCCGCCCCACGCCGCGCCCCGGGACCGCGCGCTCTCGCACCCCGGAGCTCCCCGGCCAGAGCGCGGGCGCGGCGCTCGGTGCCCGCCCGACGGCGGCGGCAGGGTGCGGGGACGGGGCGGGGCGGGAGCGCGGCGCGGGCTGCGCGGGGCACCTCCTGCCTCACAGCGCGGCCGCTCCCGTCCCTGCGCACAGCGCGGCCCGCGCCGAGCGGGACATTT